TGCCTTACTAGTAGTAACAAGAAGCTACTAGGAACAAGTGCATCGCTCCTAGTAACAAGTGCCTTACTAGTAGTAACAAGAAGCTACTAGGAACAAGTGCCTCTCATCACCCCATCTCCAAGGCACGGTGCTCCTGTGGACTCTCACGCCCAACCGCCCGCGCCCGATCCGCCTGGGGGCGCATAAGGGCGCAGTGACCTCGTTGGCCGCCTCGTCCTCCGGGAAGAGCTTGGTGTCCTCCTCCCAGGACTCCTCCGTGTGTGTTTGGCCACTTGGGAAGCGCTTGAGTGACCGCGTTTGGCGCTGCTGAACCCAATGGGACTCCCAATGGGATCGGGGTAAATCATCATCTATGTGGCCGTTTCTTTGAGTTTCTCCTTTGCAAGTGGCTTGTTGTTGGCCAGTTTAGTTACACTGCATGGAATCGTCATGGAAGTGGGACAAATTTGGAAGACCATTTTCCTCTAATGACACAAAACCGCTGATTGTCCACTTCTATGATGATTCCGGGGGGACAGAAAACATGAACTTCGAGGATGGGGAGTGTTGAATGGTAATTGTTTCTCAGGGCTTACATATGGCGAGATGTCCGTGAGTTGTCAAGCACTCTGTAAGTAGAACACATCTATCTTTATCTATGAATGTTCCATATCCCGGACCAACAGTCGCAGCTTCGAGCAGCATCAATAGTTCAAGCAGCTAAGGAGAAGTCCATGGGAGAAGCCCTCCAAGAAGCCCTCCACTTTAAAGCTCCACTTTCTGCCGGTCCGGTCCATCGACTTGTCCTTCGACGAGCGCTTTCTGCTCACCGCATCGGATGACAAGACGATCAAGCGACCTTGGGCGTGGCGAGAAAGCGACGCGACAACCACGCGAGGTCAGTCGTTGGTCGTTGGTGCCAAGGGTTAGAACAAGACGTAGAACCAATGGCTGGAAAGGGAGCAGAAGCGTAGAACCCATGCAGGACCCATCCTTAAAACATCTTAAAGACCAATCCTGGCACGCAAGACATGGCCCACAGTCCGCTACCATTTGGATCCTCTTCCGAGCAAAGGGGGGCATGGGGCATGGGGGTCCTGGAAGGCTACTTGAGAAACTGTGGTCACTGGAAATCCTGCATCACCTGCGCAACACACACCTTGGACGCCTCGTGGCACGTTTTAGATCGTTTTGGCCAGGCTGAGCTCACTGACGGAGCGGAAGTTTGTGGCGTCATATCTGGGGCATTCAAACTGGGTTCGTGCCTCTGACTGCATAGATTCGGGCTCTTGCCGATCCAGAAGAAGTTGTCTACAGCCTTTAGCTCAATGCACCTGAAACCATGAAACAGCCGTAAATATTTTGGACCCCTCAGGACGCGAAAGACTTGATTGATGAGTGACATGTTATTGGTGTTGTGAATATTGAGCGTCGTTTTTGTCCTGTCCGACTCCAGCAAGCTATGTCACACTCAACTCTTGAGTTCATCAACGTATTGTCTCAATAGTTTTCGCAGATGGGGTAGCAAAGGAAGTCCTTGGGCCCACGTGCTGCACGGGAGGGGCCTAGTTCAGAAGCGTGCTTTTTGCCGACCCTCTCATTTTTCTATATATAGTGTCTTATTGACGTGAAACAATCCAGGACCTTCCAAGATTCGGTGGTTTTTGGACACCTCGACTCACCTCTAAAAGGCGATTTATAGACACCTCTTGGAAGGTCCTGGTATATATATATATATATATACATTATAGATGTCTTCATATTTCTTCATAGACTGTCTCAGCAGACTCTACTAGCAGACTGTCCCACAGCGTCTCATTTCTTAGTCCGACTCTTCAACCGCCCTTTCCGGGTGTTGGCCTCTCGTCCGAGGTGCGGCTTCATTCTCCTCAACTGCAAGCCACATTGTGTCTGGGGGGAGATGACAAGACAGTGCCACTCAGTGGAACGGAACACACATGAATCACGTATCTAAGAGGGACGTGGCAGTGGACGTGGCCTATCCTGGCACACGATGTGATTGCTCATGCTTTATCTGAGTTGCAACCATTTGCTTCTGCGGGGCATTTCTGATGCTGCAGGTGTGTGAACGTTGCAGGCATAGATCATGGAACCCCAAAACGTCCCAAAACCACTGGGTTGTAGAGACAAAAGCAGGCCTTCCATGGACAATTCTCCGGGTCCATGTTAGTCACGGGGAGAGACAAGAGGACCAGTTGGGTACTCATCGCAGAGCCTGGGCGTGATTCAACGAGCCTCCAGTTGTTGCCGCCCAGATGTGCTCCAAGGCGGCTGTGGGATGTTGAGCGGAAGTCGTGCCTACAAAGCTTCCATGACAGTGCTTCAAGCATCACTTGTGGCCTGGATAGGCAATGCGACCGGTACATGGGCGACCGGGATCTCAGTGTGGAAACGCGAGAATTCGATTGGTTGGCTGGGATGACCCCTTGTAACAACACACCAGGACGTACCAGGACTGATCTGAAGTCTACCTCTATTCTACGGTTTTTGGAGCCACCGGTGACAGTGTCAACATATCCTACGAAGGCCCACTTAGAAGGAACACCGGTAGATACCACAAGGCCTGAACATACTGTTCAGGCCCACTGAGCGAAAAGGCGCGACAAATATGTCTTTCATTTAAGGCGTTTCAAAAATCCCTTGGCACCTCGTTCTTGGATCCCGGATCCCCCGACGTCGTCATGGGCCTTTCCCGCTTGCCCCACGCGCGTTTCCGCTCGACACCGGGAAGACGACGTTGTGGATGGCGCACCCGCTGCAGGTAGTTGCTTCGGGCTGGACGACAACATCATTGTAGCCAGCTCTTGGGAGCCGGACGTCGAACAAAGCAAGACCTCTCAGATGGGGCTACTGCAGGGCGAGGTCAGATATGAAAAATACATAGGCACAGCACGTAAGGCAAGAGGCGCCAGCCAGTAGCACCCCTCATGAGAAGTCTTGGTATAGTAGATTCTGTTCATGATTTGTTTCCTTTTTTTTTCGCTCTATCATGATTCATCGTAATTAGATGAGGTAAATTACCTTGTGGTTTTCGTTCGGGCCAGGCTTTCGTGGGGCATGGTGTGTAGTTCGGCTGTTTTTTGACATGGCCGCTTCCGTGGCCATCCGTTCGTGGCAGTTCACGGCCGGAACCGGTTCGGCTCCTGGGATTGGGAAGAGCGAGGATTCCAGCATCAACATTTGGGACGTGCGCGCCTTTGGCTTGCGCCAGCACTATGGCCGCGCGCACGGAGGGAGTCCCATCACACAGGCGGGGTTGACCTGTGGGCTGGGCGTCGTGTGGTGACTTCATGTGGGTCAAAAAGGTTAAACAGCTCGGACCAACCCTAAGTATAAGGTTGTGCCAGGCAATCTTCGCATCTCGGTCGCAGTTTGGTGTCATCTTGTGGAAGGTGTGGACCCCTTCTTAGGCGTTCTTGGAGCACCGAAAAGCAGGCGTCGTCGCTGCTCGGTACAGCGAGGCGGTGTATGAACTTGCTTTCGGAAGTGAGCTAATGAGCCAAACAAGTGCAGGGGTCAATGCAGGAGAGGTCACCAGGACCATCCCAGGGGACCAATGAGCCGAACAACATGGTTTTCTGTTTTACACAGCATGAGATGTTGGGGGCATCAGTTCGTTGCTTGTAGCACCCATCGAAAAGACACACCCTGTTCTGGAGCAGCATGTGATTTGCTTGGCGCAGTTCCGACGGTCAGGAGGTTGGGAACACTTGTTTTTTTTTAATTGACCACTTCGTCACCCGCTTTGGCCGACAGATTCGCTCAAGGACTGGAAACTGGACTCTAGAGGCCCGTTGCTGAAGAAACACTTTCCGTGGATAGGAGCTTGACCTACGAGAATCCACCTTGAGCTTCCACAGGTGGCAGTCCACCCCTTTCGGGACTTGCTGCTCTCCGCTGCGGCTGATCGGCAGCTCCGGCTCTGGGATTTGCGCATGGGCCGGCTGCAAGATACGATCTTGGGACATGATCGACCGATCCACTCCTGCGCTTGGGAGACTTGGAGAAATTGAGAGTCGACTTGGATGTATTTGGACCTGAACTCGGGGAGGTGTTTGCTATAGGAGGTGCTTGACGAGTGTGAGCTAGGAGGCATCAATATGGCTGCAACCGCCGCTAGGATGACCAGGGTGAACACTTCGCCAGCTGCGACAGCGAGCTGGTCTTCTACTGGTCGCTCCCGCTGCCGCCGAAGGCGGCCGAGACGGCAGAGGTCTCTCCAGAAGTGGCCGAGATGCCTCCAGAAGTGGCGGAGGTGGAAGAGGATGGGAGGCACGAAGGGGTTGAGAGAAGCTTGGAGTATCCAGCTATATCCGGAGCACTGGATTAGCTAGATAGGGACACAATTATAGGACACAGAAAATTGCCTACTATATTATTGATTATTGTTTTTTCCAAGAATGCTGGAGAAGGGTCATCAAGGTCTGAGAATATGGCTTTAATCCCACAGTCTACTGAAAAGACCGCCGCGCATTGGTAGAGTTATAGAACTTTTTGCTACAAAGTATTGTGGCATAATGGCCATGCAATTACACACTTGTCAACGTATTTGTTAGGTAGGTGATGGGATTAGGGACCCATTCCCTATACCTCCCGCCCAGGCCCGACCCAGACCTCCACGCCGAGCAGCCTGCGCCCCGGCCCTGCCCGGAACCCTGCCCAGAGGCAGGCAGCGCGGCTGGTGAAGTGAGATCCGGGTCGCTGGAGCAGATGTTGGAAGCAGCCTGGGCAGGGGAGAAGGCCATACAGACCAAGGTCTCTGACTTGAAGGAGCCGAAGCCGCTTTTAAGATGCTATTTCTTGCCGAGCCGTGTTGCTGCTGAGAGGGGGAAAAGGATTAGAAAACAGGCAGATTTATTGGTTGGATAGACGTTCATGATTGAACAAATGGCGGCATTGAAAGTCTAAGTGTTTTTCTTTTTTATTTTTTCGGAGGGGTTGAGTATGGTTGAGTTGTAATGCATGTAACCCCGTAACCCCATTTTCCCTTGCCCCACTCGCTGTCGCAGGAGTCAACAAACGTGATTGAAATGCTAGTGTGGGCCCCCCTACAAGGTTCCCAGTCAAGCGCAGCAGCCAGGATCAGCCAGACCTCCCGGAAGCCGCGGCGTTAATGTCACTTGATTCGAAGCGGGGGAGGAGAGTAACGTAGAGAATGTACTGTAGGAATTCTCACAATAGTGGCGATGGCCTCCACCTAATGGCGTCCTTGTTACCTATAGACATAGACATAGTCTCATAGTCAATACCGTTCTCCAAAAATCACTGGACATGGGGGGCGCCGCGGGGTCCCAAAATGGATCATTCCTACCACGAATGATCGCTGTATATTCACGCCCTTCTCGCCCATTGGGATGGGAGAAACATGGAGAATCCATCCTTATACCTCTTAAAGGCGAGTGTTTGGAGGGTTCACGAGTCGCACGCGATCTCAGCGATGAGTTGCAGGAGGCAAGCATCCGGCTGCCGGATGCCGGGGCACATGGGTTCCATCATATGATAAGAGAAACGGCATATGGAAGAAATGGTTTCATCAGAGCAGTGATGAGCTTCGATTGCTTGGGGGATCTTGGGGGGGGTCTTTGGACGGACACCGCCCGGACGAAACTGGTGGACGAATGGCTCGAGCTGAGAAGAGGCTTTGGGGATGGACACCCTGATGCCAGACGTCAACAAAAATGGGTCCACAGAGCGGGCGGGAGGGATCCCTTTGCTGTTGGGGTGTTTCAATTTACAACCCGTTTGAGCAATCATCACAATCTTCCTACCACGGGTTGATTTGGGCTCCTACAATCTCTTACATGTCCGCTCTTCCAGGCGTATGAAAGATATGGAAAGTGATGGAAACTCATGGAACGTCATGTCCTATTTTTTGGGGTTGGAAGCTATTAGAAACAAGTGCCTTACTAGTAGTAACAGGTGCCTTACTAGTAGTAACAGGTGCCTTACTAGTAGTAAACAGGTGCCTTACTAGTAGTAACAGGTGCCTTACTAGTAGTAACAGGTGCCTTACTAGTAGTAACAGGTGCCTTACTAGT